ACTAGTTGAGTCAGAGCTTATGGCGAACTGTCATCTGCTTTTGCAACCTCAAGTGATGTCCGTCGAGACTGTCCACTTTCTCCATTTTTGTTTAACTTCATCATAGATCTACTGATGGAAATAACGCTCTCATCTACTGAATTCTCGGGCATTGATCTCCTACCAGGAGGTCCACTTATCGACTTCGAATACTCAGATGATATGGTCCTGTTTGGTGAAGACGCTGATAAAATGCAGAGTCTTTTGGTAGCACTGAGCAACAATGATTATATAGTAATTGGGTTCGCGTTGGAGAACTTTGAAAGGTGTTTCGTATGCTGGCTCGAGAGGTCGTCGATGAGAGTCACGATGTACGAAGACGTGTGTACTATATCGTAAGTCAGGTTGAACGAAAATATCAGTTGATTGTGGTCGAGTGGAAACAGGTTTGACCGAACGCATTGCGTTTGTAAGCCTGTTCGAGTGGGAGGTTAGATCCATGTTCATCGAGGAGGATGAAGGATCCACGAATTCTCCTGGAAGTCGAAGGGTCGTACCATAAACGAGTTGAGACGCAGTTTATCCAATGTCAGCTTTCACTGCATTGCGAATACCTAGTAAGACGAGTGGAAGAGCGTCACTCCACTGAGAAATGTTTGAGGCTGATAGTGACGCTTTTAGTTGTCGATGAAAACGTTCTACTAACCCGTTTGCTTGTGGGTGGTAGGCCGTCGTTCGGAAGCGAGTGATTCCTAGTTTCGCGGTCAGACAACGGAAAAGTTCAGATTCTAACTGACGTCCACGATCTGTAGTGATTGTTATTGGGCAACCCAAGTTTGCTTCCCATCGTTCGACGAAGGCGCAGGCCATTGTTTCAGCAGTAATGTCTTTGATGGGTACTGCTTCTGGCCATCGAGTAAAACGGTCTACGCAGGTTGAAAGATAAGAAAATCCATTTGAATCTGGTAAACGTCATACCAAATCCAAATGAACATGGTCGAAACGAGCATCGGGAGTTTTAAACGAGCCTAGGGGACACTTGTTATGCCTAATAACCTTAGATTTCTGGCAGCTTACACAGAAGCGTGCCCACTCCCTCACATCTTTATTCATACCAGGCCAACAAAACCGTTCTGCTATAAGCTTGATGGTTGCACAAACACCTGGATGAGAAAGTTTGTCCAACGTATTGAAGACGTTGCGTCGATATTGTTTCGGCACGATTGGACGATCCCTACCTGTAGATGTGTCACAAAGTAAGGTTTCTTTACCTGTTCCCATCTGTTTAACGCGCAGTTTAAGTGTTGTTGAGGACAACTCGTGCTGACCATCAGTGTCTTCTTTTTGAAGCTGGGCGAGTTTTAAAAGGTCGATTCTTTGGAAACTGTTCGAGGAATTTATGCGAGACAAGGCGTCTGCAACTACATTGTTTGCTCCAGAAATGTGCTGAATATCTGAAGTAAACTGTGAAATGTAGTCCAGTTGTCGAGACTCACGTGGTGAGTACTTGTCTGAAGAAGAGCTTAAGGAGAAAGTAAGAGGTTTATGATCGGTAAAAGGGTGAATTGTTGGTCTTCGATAGAGTGTTGAAAATGTTGGACAGCACAATACATAGCTAGGAGTTCCCTACCGAATGTGCTGTACCTCGATTCAGTGTCTAGCAACCGTCTAGAGAAAAATGCCAAAGGTTGCCAGGAATGGGTAACCCATTGTTGTAAAACTCCTTCGATTTCTGGGTCGGATGCTTCTGCTGCGATACTAATGGGTGCTCCAGTGTCCTGATGAGCAAGCATGGTTGCTTGAGCGATCAGTTCCTTAACTATGGAAAATGTTCTTCGCGCGGTGTCATCCAGATTGTTGGATTTCGCATTTCCACGAAGTTGATCGGTGAGAGGTTTCACAAGGGACGTCCATTTGGGAATGAATCGTCTATAGAAACTTAACAGACCGATAAACGTGCGCAATTGCTTGGTGGTGGTCGGTTCTGGGTAATCCAGAATGGCCACCACTTTTGTTCTAAGGGGTCGGATACCTTGCGCATCGATAGTGTGTCCTAAGAAGTCAAAGTAGTCAGTTCATATCGGACATTTCTGAATGTTCATGGTAATGCCATGTTTTTGTAGTCGGTCGAAAACAAGATCCAGATGCTGGAGATGTGATTCTCTGTCCGGACTTGCTATTAGACAGTCATCAACACACGCATGTACGAAATTGAAACCTCGAAAAACGTCATCTATGAACCTCTGGAAAGTCTGTGCCGCGTTTCTTAGACCGAAAGGCACTCGCAAAAATTCATAGAGTCCGAAGGGCGTTATAATAGCGGTTTTCGGAATATCGTCAGTAGTCATAGGGATTCGGTTAAACGATTTAACCAAGTCGATTTTCGAAAAGACAGTTGTACCTTTCAAGGTAGCTGTCAAATCGTGGATGTGGGGCAACGGGTAACGATCGGGAATGGTTTTTGCATCCAGTCACCGATAGTCACCAGTTGGACGCCAATCGTTGCTGTCCCTTTTAGAGACCATGTGCAACGGAGATGTCCATGGGCTGTTTGACGGTCGTATGATTCCTAAGTCTATCATACGGTCGAATTCGTTTTTCGCCAACCTTAACTTTTCGGGGGCCAGTCGGCGTGCTTTAGAGAATACAGGTGGTCCTGTAGTCGCGATGTGATGTGTAACACTGCTGGTTACACACGGCAATTTCGGTTGAGATTGGTAAATGCCAGAATACTTATTGATTAGTAGTTGATAGAATAGGTCTATAGTGTGCTTAATAGTGACAGGAGATAATCTGCATCCAGAAAAAAAAGTCAGGCAAACAGATAAATTAGTATTTCCATCTACTAGTCTCCGTTTGCGCGTATCGATAATTAAGTTGTGGTGCTGTAGAAGGTCCATACCGATGATTGAAATAGAAACATCCGCAACAACGAAGATCTAGTGAATGGGTTTGCGTAATCCCACGTTGAGATAAACATACCTTTTGCCATACGTAGCGATAGGCTTTCCGTTTACAGCCTGTGGATTTAAAACCGATTCGTGAAGCCGGTCGTTGGAATTCGCTGGGAGAACGCTAACTTCTGCGCCAGTATCGACGAGGTAGCGAACTCTCGTTACTACATCAGAGACATAATAAAGACGGCTATGTTTGCCGGCTACGGCTGCCGTTAACGCGTGCCGGCTTGGAAGTTTCCCGAATCGTTTTTCGTGTCGACCGATTTTGAGTTGGGAAAATTGCAGGGTTTTCTGCAATTTCTGGAGGACTTGCCATACTAGTTACGATACCAGCACCAGTCAGGGTTATCCGTCTCTCACGGTCTAGAGACAGATCGTCTACGTGAAGTGCTTCTTCACAGGGTAAGTGAACGTTTACGATCGTTATGGAGTTTGAGATAACGAGTAAGTGTATGAAATAATTCTGTTATGTCATTCTGGGTGGTTTGAGGCTTTTCTTTGACTGAAAAAACCTCGGCGTTAGAAGATCTAGTGATCTCAAGTATGTGGTCGGCAGATGCAGCCAGCTCGTCTACTGCGCTGTTTTGAAACGAGACAAGCACAGCTTGCACCTGTTGAGGAAGTTTTGGTGAGAAAAGTTGTTTGAATAGGCCATCATCGAAGGTTCTTTGGCCAATAACATCTCTCATTCTTCGCAACATGTCTGTGGCAGAGCCGTGTTGCAGGTCGATGTTGTTAAGGAGTTAGTCTAACATTTGTCTATCGGTTAGATCTCCGTGTTTAAGAATGAATCGTTTAAGAGTTTCGTATGGTTCAGGAGCATCACTAGTAAACATACTAGGTGTTACGTACCTGTTGGATTCGCGCGGTAGTGCCTTGACTTCTGCGAGGAATTGTGCATTTGTGTCACTCACGCCGTGCTCGTAGAAGTCGGCTTCTGCGTAGCAAACCAGGCTTCGATGTTGTCTGGCCAAAAAGGCATAAGTTGGAGGGAAGTTGGAGACACAGTCTTAAACTTGAATACCTTAGGTGTCTGTTCAGTCATAGTGATATATCAAGTATGAAAACGAACGAGTGGGAAATATATATATAAAATATCCGAAAACACGGGGATAAAATATCACAATGTATAAAGAAATTAAAATAAGACAATGATATATAAAATCACAAAAAGAACAGACTAACAGTTTGCAATTCGGTGTAACAGATCACGTCGGGCTCACCAATGAAGATGCTACAGGTATTCGGAGTTTGACAACGCTTTAACTAGTAACACCTAATACGAAGCGTACCCACAAAGTGGAGTCAAAAGACAGAAGCAAGGAGGTTCGGAGATATATTTGATAGGCTATCAATATACGGGGGATCGTGTGAACTAATCTGGCTAGCGATTGCAGTAGATGTTGAGCACGGCGTTCCCACACGTGATCTTGTGCGGATGCATGACCGATCGCCTTCAGCTAGATGAGTCCATTAAAACTAATGTGGTCAGCATCCAATGTGGAAAACTTCCAGAGCTATTTATTTTGGGGATTTATTAACCGCTACAGTAGCCTTTAGAAAATTATATTAAATGTTGGTTACTGAGATTTACGCACCTTTGGATCCAGACTAAAAAATGATGGGTAGTAATTGATGAGACATCAGGTGTGTTCAGTGACCTCGGAAGTCATCCTACTGAAAATTAGGTGTTGGATCATGACGATGTATCGGCCACAAATAGAAAGTTGCGAAATATAAAGCACAACAATCACACGTACCTCAACCTAGTAGTTCACACCAACCTACATGGCAAAGTCAAGTACACTACTTGAAACCCAAAACCTAGGTTACATGCCATCTGACATTTCAGAGAAAGGTATGTTTGTAGTTATGAGGGAACTGATGCTCCTTTGCACTCTATATTCACAATCTGAGACGTCATTTGGCCGTTCGAGGAGCCACCGGTTTCTTGTAGAACCGATATGTTTACGACTTATTTGTCACTGACTGGCAAATAATGTCATTCTTATCAAACCGATTGAATTTTGTTATTCTATTGCACATATTAGCATCATCTGGCAGCCTATTATGGCGCTTAAACTGGTTCATTGGCCTTTATCAAGGTAGTCGTGTGATTGTTACCCTAATAAATAAGAGTAAAATAAACATCTGACATACAACTGTTCCACAACTACACATGCAATAAATCATTAGGAATAAGTGAGGAGATTAGTGATTAATCAACTTTATTCCGACTGACCAGTCAAAATAACCAAGTCGGGAGTAATATGGAAATATATATCCTTGTAATTTTAGATACATCTTTGCATGTCACATATCTACCATACTTCGAATGCATTTATTTGAACCTTCTCAAGTATGTGGCTGATTTTTCGAATAATTTTAAAGTTGAGTATGATGTATCAAACTGCACAAATTTATCCAGTCTAAACTCGTAGCGGAGTCTACGATCTACAGACACCATAGAAGTTTGGACGCACAAATTGTGAAGACAAGTCCAATAATTTTTAATAGCGAAACTGTCCTGGTCCTAACTCATCTTGTTTAAGGTTTCAGGTATATTATAACTAACGTTAGCAACATCGGTAGCTTTGTCATGTATTGATATTGATTAAAATAGTTTGCAGTGGTTTGTCAGGGCACGATTTTGGTTTCACTGGCACGTGCTGGGAGCATATCGTTATTTGTTAATCAGGATTCCTAATACACTTGCTTCAGTCTGGGCAGCCGGGCAGTATCACAGCCCACACACAAATCAGGTGATGTGTATGGCGCATATGTATTCGGTGCCCTTTGTATCAATATTTATATGTTCAAATAAATTTATACACCCAAGCTAATTTCTGTAACACATGTTAGGGATACTATCTGGATATCCGATCGAAGTATCTAGCCCAGTTACTGAATTTTAAATTCTTTAACTAAAGTACGACTACATTTATAGTTTTATATTTTCAAAAAGGGTAAAGAAATGACTTCACTCATACCCAGCAATCACAAAGCAGTTAAAGGAATTGTGCAGGCTAACAAAAATAATCGAGTTTCTCGATTTCTTATGTCCCATTCTGCACCAAATATCTAGAGACTCTAAGAAAATATCTGGAACTTCATAGAGGAAGCTTTTAATTCGGGACCCACCATTAATGACCCCCCGAAACTATGAACGTCCAGTAGTTATCATTGTTACAACTCAATAACTAAATCCTAACCTAGATGTATCCTTGAACTTATATTTATGGTATTGTAAAAACAGCTTAAAGAGGCTTAGATATCTGAAACTAGAATAAAGAAAACCATTTTGACCAAACAAATGTTTTAATATCTTCTTGGAAGTAGTTCGGTTCCGTTATTATTGTCTATAGTACCAGTCGATTGGTCATACTGTAATGAGACAACCAAACAACATCTGGTAATATAAATTGCTGTATTAAACGAATACTCACCTGCACTTTAGTTTACTTCACCTTAGTTCACCAAAACAAAGTCTAACACAGGTAGAATTTTAAAAAATCAGAAATTTCATTAAGTTAGTAGTATTAGCATGTTATCAGTTTATTATTTATTTATTTATTTATTTATTTATTTATTTTAACACATAGGTATTGGTACACGGAGGCACCAAATACATATGCGCCACACGAATCTCAATTAATTTGTGTGAGGGCTGTGATACTGCCCGGGTGCCCAAAACGAAGCAGGTGGTTTTCTTAGGGGCCACACCCCGAGCCTTTGACCTGAAGATCTGACCCACAAGGCAGTGGAGCATCGTGAGGAGATTCAGTCCCATGGAAGCTGGTGACCAAGAAATTGGTTCATACGCCATTTGTTCCCGCAGGATACTGGAGCCCATGTGCACCATTGGTTTGGGGTCCGGTTAAAGCGCCGGACATTCGCTTTTCGTCCTCTCATTTTCGTAAACAACACCGCCGCCACGAGAAGGCAGTGAGTAGGACTTCCCTGGCAGAGGCTATATACGCATGGCCATGTGAGAGCATTTCGAGAGGGAGAACGGACTCTCCCCACTCTCGGCCATACCAGGGCATTCGGGGGCATGTTATTAGTTAACTTAACAATATATTCTAAGCCTCTTAGTATATATATATATATATATATATATATATATATATATATTAGGGTAACCGACATGAATGCTTAAGTGCCAATTTTTCAGAATGTATCCTGTGCTTAATCCAATCCATTATACCGCCCTGTTATAAATATAGGATACAAAAGTTCTATTATTTGCTGTTTCGAGGCACCTAGTGAATGCGAAATGAACATTCCTCCCACAAAGCATAGGATTTCATGTGAAGGTAAATTTTCCTGCGGTGTTTTGTATTATTGGTTTATATGATTTCGGATATATATTGTATAACTGACATACGTCTTGCAATCATAGTGGTCACAATAAAATATTAATAGAAGTCTCCCCTAGTCTAAAACTTTACGATTGTAGACTACTGAAATGTGATATTAACGTATCAAAAATCATTTGATGAAATCCCATTAACGCTATCTGAAATATGTCATGCTGTCGTTGTTTTCACACGGTTATACTTGTTTGGTTCTTAACCGTTTTCATTGTCTGTGAAGCTGTGGCGATTCACTTCGGTTCAATATAACTTATTTGATCTAGTGTACGTATTTTTCATAAGTTTTAAAATTAGTGTGCCAATTTCAGTATGGAACTCGGTCTGACATTTATTTTACCTTTTTATCTGGACTTCAGTTGCCAATTGGTCGATTCATGTTCTTACTTTAGGCCAAGAAACAACCAATATTCACCAATGGTCACATTCTTCGGCAAACTAAGTTGTAAATTTCATACCTCTATTAATTTTCGTGGAGGAACTCGTCAGTCATCTGAGCTACTATATGGAATTCATCCTGTCTTGTGTGCTCTTACGTTTCGTCATCGCGATATTTACCGGTTATACGTCAAAGACGTATTGAGCAACTGCAAAGATCCCGACAATCTCGTAGAGATATCAACATCTCAAATAACCGAGAAAGCACTCAAATATGGCATACCAGTAACTCGAGTACCAGTCAAAAAGCTCAAAGAACTAAGTAATTCAAGAGCCCATCAGGGTGTAATACTTGAAGTTTCTCCTACCACCATACAGTCTATTTCAGACTTGTCGATTAAAAATTTGTTATTTTCCTGGAATAATTTATCAGGCTATTTACCATACACGAAAAAATATCATAGACCTACTGTTCTACTTCTGGATCATATGATGGATATCATGAATTTTGGGAACATATTGCGTTCAGCAGCATTCTTTGGTATATCTACGGTCATACTATCTACTTCTCCGTGTGTCAGCCCATCACCTCTAATCAGCAAAATTAGTGTTGGCGCAATGGAAAGTATCTTATTTTATAGGTTAACTGATACAGTAATGGATATGAAATCCTTATCAAATGCTGGATTTTTGATAGTTGGTACTTGCGGGGAAAGTCAACTTCCATCAACTAAAGTTTCCAAATCTACAAATTTTCTGAAACCGGATGAGGTACTGACTGTTCTGTAAATAATGTAACAGACTTACCAGTATTTTCAGCGATCATATCGCCCAACAATTTGAACTGAGTATTAAATTAATTACTTAGTAATAATCTGTCATCTAAACTGTGAGAAACCACGTGCTTCATTTTTTTGGTCCTAATATGTGTAAAACAGTATTGTTGGTGCACAGTATCTGTCAAACTATTCGTTCAAATATTGACGAATATTCGCACATATTCGTAAAATATTTTCCGATGCTTTGACATATAACCATAAGTTTAGAACCTCATAAAAATGTTCTCACAAATATTAAAAGTATAGAAAAAATACGAAAGAATAAACCATTAAATTGTAACCAAAAGGGTATAAACCGTTTATGTACTGAATTCCACATCATTCAGCCATTTGTTCGCATATCGTTTTCAATCGTCTCGATCTTTTGATTATTATCGTAAATAAAGCTTTTCTCCTTTCAGTCCACGAGATATCGATAGCTCACCAGAAACCAGCGTATGCAAAATACGAGCTATCACATATACAACAGTTAAAGGTACACAAGAAAACGAATGCTAAGTAAACAACCATGAAAATATAAAGGTTTATCATATTTCAGCACATTTATTCAGTTAAGATATCCGAATATTATTGCTTTTTCTAGAACCTAATCCTTACTCTGTAGTTCCTCATAAATTTCTTTTATCGTTTTGTTTACCTATAACAAAAAAGGTTTGGTACTAAAAAAATGACGCCAAAAATGCCCCCACAAATTGAAACAATAATGTTGTAGAAAGATAGCAAGGTTATATAAAAATTGATTAATTAACGAGAATAGTGTTCATTAAGAGGTACATCCAGAGTTTGGAGGGTTCATCTAACTTTTTTGGAGAACGTAATAAAAAATATACTAAGATCCGCATTGACTTTTGTTCTGAATCTTGCTTAACAACGCCTCAAGCTACCATACTGCTTATTTGGGACTCATTTCGGGGATTCTTGGTAGACAAACAAATCCCAATCCCAAACAGTTATTCTACGGAGCCACATCATAAATTGACCAAGTCTCCACTTTTTCAATCCAATACTACCGTCAAATAATGCACTATATAAAACTCGACGGGACAAACTTCCTAAAGCATATCCAATCTTAAATCTTGAGGTATGTATTCAGTCGGGTTACTTTACACATCCTTATTCCATTTACTCCGTTGTTTTTGGTATTTTTACCTTAGTTGACTGTTTGTTAGTTTAGGTGAAAAAATGGTGTAGCAGCTTCAGTTGGCAAATTTTTTTCATTGTTAAACATTACTACGCTCACCTTGAACTTCAACACTAAGTCTATCCCAGTAACCTAATAGAAAGACCACTCTCTGACAATTTCATCTCTCTGTCCTTATGGCGTATGGCAACTTGAACCGGTGTGCATACGTACTAGGTTGTTCGTTGTGACTGACTAGAAATACAGTTTTAGATGATTAAGTGTTCGAAATACGTTGTGTTGTTCTATTTTCAGGTGAGGACTGTAATTGTGGTTAAAATAAAAATTATTCACTACAAATTTTGTTAGTCCTTTCATCAATATTTTGAAGTTAAGAAACTATGCTAAAAAACTGACAGTGATTTATTTGATGATATTTAATAGGGTAAAAACATTTAGCAGCAGCACAATCAAGCAGATTTTGAGAGCTCTATTCGATAAATTAATAGATGTATTATTTTGAGAAGGAAGAAACCAAGTAGTACAGAAACAACGTTACAAATTTGTTTTTTCCAGAACTAAATTATTCCCAAGTTATGTAGAAACCTCCATAATAAACTTATTGTTTCAATGTTTGTAGTCAGACTATATTACTATCCTGTAATTATCTCACTGTTTGTAATTACTTTAGGTGGGCGCTAATAATGACAATGACACTGGAGTTTACCCTAGACCTCTGGTATTAGCCCTGGGAAGTGAATCACGAGGTCTCAGCGAAAATGTTCTAAATGCTTGTGATTTATTACTACGTATACCAGGTTTTGGAGATTCAACCAACTTAAATCAATGTCTATCACAAAGTATTACATCATCTTTAAATGTATCCGTTGCTGCTGGTATTTTATTATATCAGTTAACTATGTTTCGGCATGGACACGAAGTTGTTAACAAATCCTCTTTTATTTCCCACACTGAATAAACCCTCTTTAGTCTGTTTATGAGATTACTTTCACAACTTTATATATATATATATATATATATATATATATCTTGCATCTATTCCAATTTCACCTTCGTAATGTGCATAGTTATATTCGATCAGAAATCATTTATATTTTGGAATATGTTACTTTGTTTTCAAATAAATTGTTATTATTCATTTCTTCTGTTTTCTTGTCTGAACTCAAATAAAATGTCGGTTTTATTTGCATTTTATTAAATGTTCGTAGACATTTTATTATTTTACTAGTTCAGTACTATCACCTGTCTAACCATTTAATACAAGGTACTCTAATAGAGCTAAAAATTCCTGTAAATACTGATACGGTGTCAAGTATTACCATGATTTGTTTTGTTGGCAAATAAAATGGTAGCATCTATGCAATATATGTTTAAGCTATCCTTTTTTGAAAATCTGCCTCCATGCGTGAGGAATTCCTACTTAAACTTTGACCAAGTCATGGTGTTAATTATATCTATATGGACGGTTTCTTGTTTTCTATCTAAAAACATTGGCTTGTTCACCAGTTTTCTCTACTGAGGTTCATTTTAGCTTGTTAATCAATTATTTACCACTCAGAGCTCATCTTAATAAACAATAAGTCATGAGTTGGTTTTTCCTCACCGTTTCATAAAATCAAAGGTTAGAAATGTGCATGGATTAATTTTATTAAGAAACCGAATTTCATATTCTGTTCTTGTGATTAAAAACTACTTACGAGGAATTGATCCAATATAAAGTATTATTGTTTAAATAACAATAGACAGTCGGCTTTTACGATTTCTCCATAATTCGTTCAAAAAATGCTTATACTATTGCCGTCAGTGAATTGTCAGATTTGTTTTCAGTAGACTATAGCAATTTATGGGGGTTATCTTGGTTTTTTGAAGTAGTCTTTGGGTTGTTTGTTGGAAACACTTGGGCAAAAACGTATTGATTGAAGTGTGAATCATCCAATTCACCTGTTTGAAAAATTTACTGAGAGTTTCATATCATGATGATATTTCGCATATCTCTACTTCGTAATATCTACCTTCAATCAAATTTCTTGTAACGCGTTAAAGATTATCGTTCCATTTCCACTTAACATTGTGGGTCTAACTCTAAACTCATTAGTGACCTGTAGGTAATGTTATCATAAGGTTAGAAACTAACTTATCATAATGCATTTGATGAATTCATAAGAACATTACCCTTCAAAAATTATAACTATTCACAATGACGTTTTGCTAATCAGTTTTCCACCAAACAAGTTTACACTTTGTCATATCAAATGTAGATTAACACGTGTTTTATGTTGCACATAAAGGTTGCAGATATTTGCCAACTTTTCTCCCTTAGCTTACAAACGGAATATGAAAAGTGAACAAACTAGTGAAGTTTTGCTCCCGCCGTCTGCTTTTCTTATCTCAAATCCTAATCATTTCAATTGCCCTCAGAATGTGAACAATGATGCCGAACGCACTAATTCGATAATAAATAATAAGAGCACTAGAAAATTGTCAATAAGCTCGATTATTCCTAAGTAAGTAATCAAAAAAGTTATTGTAAATGCTCTTCTAGAGTTGTATGTATCTGAATAATATAACAGTGCTAATGGTTTATGCATTCATAAATTTGTTTGTTAAATCAAATCCCCCCGCGTTATAACTTCTCTTATTACTACCCAGCTACTCATAGCTTAGCATTCTTGTACATTACTTCACTCGACAAGCCCCCAAATCAGAACACGGTTTAACAGGAACGCAATTATGTTACAAATAAAAGGGGTGGATGGAAGTAGGAATCACAATAAGAGTTTTTTACATATGAAGATTCTAGGTTTATTAATTACCGACATGCTGCAATAACTATTTGTAACGTTATCACCGGGCTGTTGGTAAATTTGACTTGGAAGATGTGTGGATATTCGCATTTTTATGGAAACTGAAGACCCACAGATAAAAATGACATTTGAATTGGTTATCAAAGAGAAGGATCAACTGAAAGCGTTCACATTCTCTATTAACAATACCTGCATAAGTGATAAATTAATTAAATCCCCGTTTATAAGTTCCATATATTGATCATAATTCTCAAAAACCGACCCAATTCCATCTAAAGAACTTGTCGTATCTACATGTGAATTTTATTTTATCGATTCGAGATTCACCTCCATTTAATTATAAACCATTGTTTGTTTAACTTTGTATTAAGATGGGATTTAAGAAAACGCTTTAGTACTATGTACATATTCTAAAAAATTTGCAGTCATTCACAATAGTCTCTCTCAGAGACCAATTTTTCTCAAGAAATTACACACATTATGCAATCACTCAATGCATTACAAACCTGTACAGTAACAATAACTACCTTTTAATATTGAACGCGAAAACGATTTAGAAAACAAAGTCGAACTCTTCCACGCTTAGGTCTTTTAAGGTGTAATCCTTAGCAAAATTGTGATATCTACCATTTCGAAAACCCTAATGATGCTACTGTTATGCGTGCTACCTTTGTAAAACATCTAATCATGTTTGACATACATTGCCATCTCTATTATTGACAACAATATACTAGCAAAGTTTATTACTATTACAGTGTGTATTCTATCAACTATGATGTGCTTTACAACAATGTCACCTTTGATTATGTATTTCATATTATTTACAACTTTACCAATGTTCAGTCAAAATTTATAAATCGCGTCTGTCCTAAAGATGTGTCCCAGTTTTCAATGTTACCTCTTCTTTTGTATCAACCCGATCAAAATAGTAAATTGTTATAAATTCTATTATCGTGTTCAGAGTATATTATTGTTATTAATAATTAAATGCACAGTGTCCTTTTGTATGTATATATTAGTTTCTGATCGCAAATTACTAGTTTAATAAAAACAACCTAATAACCGATTACAGATTCATCTGTTTGATTATTGTCCATACTTATTATTTAAGAGCTAGTGAAGAGTTTTTGACTATAAGCCTAATTAGGTGTAGCGGGGTTCGAACCTGTAACTCAAACGTTCAATGCTTGAATTCATAAACTATCATTCATGAAATGTAAAACATGTTACAATTCTGCTAGTAGTAATTTTTTCTCTTTTTCTAAAGTGTGTATCATAGATGGTGAAGATTTGTGGCTCAAGTGGATGAACAAAACTCCACCAAATTACGTATCATAGATTTATTAAAAATAAGTTATATTAATTTGTTTTCAGACTAAACAAGAATTCAGCTGATTTAAACGATGATGGTCATTTTGATGGAATCAATTCAGAAGATATACAATTCAATTACACCAACAAATTTGTTAATGAACTGAAACAGGAAAATGAATATCTTTTACGAAGTCAAACGAAAGCTTTAGACGAATTGAACAAAATACGAGGATACATTGGATTGGGTAGAGTTTCATCTAAAAATACATTTAAGGAAGATTCTTTTGAACAACATAAATGTATTTGCGATACAGAATTACTGGAAAAGGTTATATATTTAAATTTTAACTAAATGATTTGAATTAGACTGTTGTCGATTTCTAATCTATGTATCTTTTTACCTGCCACTTCCTATTTATTAATGACCTCTTTCTTCATCGAATTATTTATCTAAATGTAGGTTTCGAGAGTTAGAATGTTTTTTTAACGTTTCCAGTAAATAAATTAAAGGTCTAGCTATCAGCGTATAATATCACTTGTTTCCTTATTGTAATATTATTAATGCTGTAAAATAAATAATTCGTTAACGGTTGACGAGTTATTGGACGTATCCCTAATCACCGGAAATGACTGAGTTATATGATCATTTGTACAAATTTGAGCGAATAGTTTCACAGAAATTAGGCACTGATCATAGTGAAAACATCTCTAAAAACTATAGTTAAATAATCTCGGGGACTGGAACTTAAATTATTCCAACGTTCATGTTTGGGAAGAACATTCAAGCAGCTGGATATAAAGTTGAAGAAGCATAAAGAATGTTTGAAACATGCCCCATAAATCCTCACTAGACCTCAATAAGTTAGAGGATATATCTATAACTGCACTACACTCATTAGAAAAAGGACACAAGAGCAACTTCAAAAGAACCAAAGTTCAGAAAAGTTTTGGCATTCATTCACAAAGAAAGAGTAATACTAGAACCAATCCCTATATTGGTAAACAAGAATAATTTGAATACAAAAATGATCAAATTAGCTGCATCGTGACAACTTAATGAACAAACAAATTTTCGAACCGTATCATTCACCCTATCTGGACCATATGTAGCTGAATTCCAGCTAAAAACCAACGCCTAATAATTCACTCAGTTATCATAATTGAAAGTCGCCTTCAATTATTTTCAATGTTTAACATCACAACTAACTTACTGTTCACATCCTACATATATTGCGACTACCTAAATTTACTTATCGATTTATAGTAAACGAAAATGATGAATATGTCCCTGATTGTAGTCAGAGGCTTCATTTACCCACTAAACTCTTAATTTAAGAGTAACATAAAGATACGCATACATGCTTATTCCTATCTCACATTGTGAACAAATTCCACATAACGACTCATTATATTACTATAAACAAAATAAACATTTAAACGTGACCAAACAAGATTTTTGGCATAATTTGGTTTGTAAACTTTATTTATATTTAGGAGGTTTTTTCTTGATTGTTTCTCTGAAGAAGCTCAAGTTATTTTGCTAGAAGAAACGCTGAAATTATTTTAACATCAATCGTTGAGTCTGTTCAGACAATTTTCGTATCATGACTGAGTTAGCTTGATTATATACATCTTTGTCCTAAAACTATTAGTTGCTATGTTGGTTAGTATAAAAAAACGTTGCACTCTACTACTCGCCTTATTATGTATATGTTGAGACGCTTTCGAAACATGATCTGGTCACTTTTTGGTAATAATTAGAGGAAATAGTGTAAGAAGCAATTTCCTACAGGTGTAACTCGAAGTTATTCTCTAGACTGTCGGGCACAGAGCCTTGGTTTAGCCGAAGTCAGAACAAGTAAGCTATTTGGCTTGATAAACTATCTGTTTCTAAAACATAAATTAACACCGTTAGTGTACAAAACGAACAGTACAGTCTATTAACACAGGGAAAAATAGAGATAGAAATAACATACCGAACAGTAACTAGAGTATAGGAAAAATGAGTCAACAAGGCGAATATTGTTTTAAAATGAACATAAATTGTGATTGATGAATAAACAAGACATAGTGTACAAGGTCAAAGAAAGTTAATGTGGTGGTGGGCGTTTCACTTTATCATTGGTGAGTTCGTTTATCGATCACACCTTACAAATAGGTACAATAAATGTCATCTTCAAGCAATATTCTTTTAATTGAGATCATGAACCGATTGATGTTAGGCTGATTTCTTTCACACCTTAACTTTGTATATTTAGTTTAATATAGCATTTTTTTATGATCTAAAGTCTGGTTCTTTTTGTGACGTCAGAATCAGCTGCTTCAGCAATTCACTGGTTTCTGTTTGGAATTCGGAATGGTCCTTTTTATTTTTTCATCTAAAATCATTATAGAAACACCTAGATTCGCCTTTATATATTTTCCAATTCTTTTCATCTTCTAGCTGAAATATTTGGAAAGTAAAAATTCTGAGTTAAATCTTCAACTTGAACAAATGAATACTCGAATGAGTAGTTTGGAGACAGTTTTAGAAATCCAAGAAAAACAGTTGTCCAGAGAAAGTAATAATGAAGTGTTACCTATTAATAATAAGTAAGTTTCACTATCTTTTTAGAAATTGTACAGACTGGCATTTTTACTCGATGCATTCCGTTTATACGAAATAGTAACGTGATTATGATTCACGTTTGACTAAATGAATAATTAAGACCAAATCGTATGAGTGATCAATATTTATATCACACGAATACAAACTGACTGATATAGGCATTATAAAGTTAGAATATGATCCCCAGTTTACAATATTACGAACACAACTGTCTCACTAAAGAAAATGACTACTCAACGAGAATTACTTCCATCAACAATCCAGCGATCCTTCGTTTATTCAAAATAACGTTTCAGTTTGTTACACAATAATATCGTCACGTTATCTGTGAGAGTTCCTATTGAACAAAAAGTTACACACTGTCTGTACATCTTAAAATATGATACTGAAAGTCATTTCAATCATGAAAATATTTATAATTGAAAGTTGTATACCGATCACTAACATTAATATGTGCTAGCCTCATTTAGGTTCCTAATCCTATCGACGAAAGCAAAAGTATCTTACTGTTTCTTGACAAAGAGGTTTAAAATATTTTACTAATCCTTTTCCAGCTATAAGGAGAGTCTGCCAAACTGAAGAATGGACGTTAACCAATCACTAATCTGCACCTCAAATGGTTGTAAGTAATAACCGACTCCGCTCTGTATATATGGATTTCGTATTCATCATTTTACGTAATACACTAATCATCAACAGATGTAGATATGGCCTACCAGAGATATGTATCGATTCAAGTTATCATATATAAGGGATGATAAATTATTAGGAGAGATAAATAAGAGAAAACAAAGAATAGTACTGGAACTATGAGTAAGAAAAGCCACTAATAATTATAAAATAATATTATTGAAGTGGTTTTCAAGTTATACGACGTAAACCGTAGATCTTAAATATCTTCACCACCATTGAAAAGTTTTTCGTTACCTACATGACATAGGCCAACAGTCAACAACTTCCTGTACTGATCCTATATATCTATATAGCCGCTTCTATACTCTTACAAAACTAATTCTTTGTTAACTAACATAGCGCACTAAGGTAGAAGGTGGTTAGATGTGTAAGACAAAAGTCTTAGTCAGTTCAGTCGACTAAGATTCACAATCTGTTATGCCGCGATAAGAATATTGAGTGGTAATTTTTGGGATCCATTTGTGGACCAATACTGTACGTATGATTTTATCGTATAATTGTTAGTTAACCAAACTATTCATATTCATGTCTCTTATCATAAGCTTCATTTCAACATATGATCTGTTATTATACGATTTTCCATTCTTGAATTATTCCCTGTTTATGAATCACTACCTTCCACGTTCACAGCCACATTTGGCCAAATTTTGTACAAATGTTATTTTCTATTTTATCGTACGTTGTGGTCTGCTTGTTTGGTGTATAAACCGAGTATGTTTGAAATACATGATTCATATTACAGAGGCTAAGATTGGCGTTCTGGAATTAACTGGTTGGGCTAGGCGGAAAGCAGGACCAATCAGAACTCTAGGCTGCTCTCACGTGTTTTACGCGTCCTTGGTCCAATCGATAATTCACTGCCCTCTAATCGGCGGCCCAACATATAACACAATCTATTCAACCAATTGATCATCTCTATCTCACACTGTCTGTCTTACCGTAGCATTTTCACTCGATGGTTCCACCGTATTCGAGCAACAATTCAAAGATACATTACAAAACTTGTAATCTGTGCATATTACCTACTTTTAGAAGCTACTTTTACCATTCATGTATTGAAAAAGAGCGGATTAGCCAGACTATAAGTTCATCTTTTGACAAATAATTGGATATCTTACTTCCCTCACAAGTAGCGTAACTTTATAAAGGGCAAAAAAGACACTAATATCTGCAGCTTGAATTTATCAATCACGAACTTACCATGATTGATAAACCTATAATGATAAGTGAAGAGACTAATTCTCTTAATTAGTCCATTTCCTATTATCAGACCAAAAAACACATCTCATGCATTTACGATCATGTGTTCTGAAAAATATCTGTCAGTATCTTCATTACTGAAGATTATTTCGTGTACATACTCCAAGATGATGGGATAAACTATTGGTAGGACACATTTGCATATGAAATCGAGAAAACGTGACTTTTCTAAGAAGTGTATATACATACTTAAACCAGGAAGGCAGCAAACACTAACTCACATCAATTGACGTTAATAACAATAAAGCTTTACAGTAGGAGAATACAAAGCTTTCCTTGTGTAACTTGATTTTCTCTTCATACACAAACTTGTGACACGTTCACTAATATTCACATCCTTTTATTGAAATTTAAATTGGAGTTTTTTCTCTGAAAATATCTTTTTACTTCTTACAAGCTGAACTATCATCATAAATGTACCTTGTTGATAAGTTTGTAGCTTTTTTACCAAAGATAAATCATTCCTTGCATAATCTATCGTATTGATTTCATATATAAATATCACATGGTCAAATTGTGTTAATTTCTGACTATCATTTGTTAATTTAGATGCCTCATTTCAGTTATATTAATAATTCCCATGTACATTTTACAAATATAAATTTAAATTAGGTCTGGAAAAGTGGAAAATTTACTTTGCACATGGCGTCGACATGTTTTACGCTTACTTATTGAAATAGAAAATCTTAAGTCTGA